ACTCCAAAATAGTAATCCCTTCTTATGTGTCATTTTCCGACTGCAGGATGGAATAGTCTAACATTTGCAAAATATTCTTAAATCAAATTAGTTTTAATTTGTTTTTTGTTTTTTTTAAGATTGACCCTGTTTTTTTAAAATCGACATCTGTTGCTGATCTTCCTCGTTCATTTCCTCCCCAAAACCCCAGCACATAGTTGTATATCATAGTTGGAGGTCTTTCCAGTTCTTCTGTGTGGGCCACCACCACAGCATGGCTTGAAGAGCAGTGTGTATGTCTGAGCCCAGGAACTGAACTGGCGAACCCCGGGCCACAGCAGCAGAGCCTGCAAACTTAACCACTTGGCCACAGGGCTGGCCCCTTACTTTGCTTTTTAAAATAAGTGTGTGCTTCTCCTCTTTTTTTGAGTGAGGTATGACTCAATTGAGGTCCTATTGAGAAATTAATGATGTGGAATATTTCACCTGAAGAGTGGAGGCATATAGAGGGCTATGGTATTTAAGGACTATTTGGGGAAATATTTATTCTCTGTATGTGGATGCACACTGTAGGGCTACAGTTAATGAATTTGTAAAGAAGTGGAAAGACAGCTTTCTGTTCATCACAAATAAGAGAAAAGAGCTAAAATTACTAGAACTGTTCAGATATGGAATGAGTTGCTTTATGCAGGTCTAAGGAATGGTGGTGAATAAAACAATGATAGCATGCTCACAACTTTTGAGTTCTTCCTGTATTATAGGCATATTCTAAACTCTTTACAGATATTACATGTTTCATGCCTGTAGCTGCTCTTTGAGGAAAGAATGCTATGCTCATGTTACATAAGAGGAAACTGAGTCAAATTAGACAATTCAAGATCATTCAGTTACTAAACAGAAACCAGCATTAGAACCCACACCTGTTTGGCACTCGTAGTTGATACACTTACATCTGAAATACAATAGTTAATTCTACATTTTTCTTTGTTCCAATACCTCATAATCCAGCAAAAGTATCCATTCTAGTACTCTAATGATCTCTGCTCAACGACATATAGTTTTCCAGTTAATGTTGGACACCTCCAGTAAGGGGGAAATTCACCGCTTTACAAAGAAAGATATAGTGAAGCTGACCCCCTACACATATTTAAATAGTTTTCTTGTATCTCAAGAAGGCAAAAGTAAAGTCCAATAAATCAGTTGATCTGATATTTTGAGTTTAATATATTACTGAATTGAAGAAAAGATTAGATATCATTTTTAAAAATAGGCAGCTATGCTTCCTTCTATATACAAGAATCTGTAGAAAACATTGGGAATGCAGTGAGGCTGAACTTGGATATTTAGATGATTTTTCTAAATGGAATCATCTGAGAACTGCCAAATCATCTAGAATCTCATTTTAGTCATAATATTAAAGTCATGAGGGGCTGGCCCATTGGTGTAATGGCTAAGTTCACACACTCCACTTTGGCAGCCCAGGGTTGGCAGGTTCAGATCCTAGGCGCAGACCCAGCACTTCTCATTGAGCCATACTATGGTGGCATCCCATATAAAATGGAGGAAGATTGGCACAGATGTTAGCTCAGCGACAATCTTCCTCAAGCAAAAAGAGGAGGATTGGCAACAAATGTTAGCTCAGGGCCAATCTTCCTCACACACACAAAAATTAAATAAAATAATGCCAGGAACTTACTAATTGCTTAAGAAAATTTTATTATGGATAAATATGTTTTAAACATGGGCCAAACACAGAATGAGAATCATAATCACTCATGCCCTATGTCTTTTTCTTAAATGAAAATTTTCAAACATCTCAGAGTAGAGAGACTTGTCCATATACCCAAGGGTAACCATATATACTACATAAAATGATGCTACTACTACCAATATTCTTACTTACAGTTAGGCTGGAGAATGCAGTTTTCTGATTCTTTATACTTTATACGTCAGAATATATTCCAAAAATGGCTTTATATTCAAAAACTGTGTTCCTAAGTCACTTAATTATTTTTACAAACCATATACAATTAGTAACACAGACCTCTGTTTTCAATTTTTAAAGATTCCTTTTCTTTCTATTTGACTTAATTTTATTTTTGTAAATAAATAAAACTTTTTCTTTAATGTTTCTGGTGCTTGAACACTACCACAAAGTATATTTGGAGAAGTCTTTCTTTGACAGGTGTTTCTTCCATCCTGCTGCCTCCCTTCTCTTTTAGCTAAATATTAATATAAACTTTTGGTTAATCCTTCCAGTGTTCTGTTTTGTTTGTTTGTTTTTCAATAAAAATAAATACATACATATTTGTGTCCTCCCCTTTCTCATTAAAAAAAGTGCCACTTGTGAAACATACTTTTGTCCACTTTGCTTTGATCATCCTGGGATGTAGAAAGCACCCCCACTTCTTTCTTACAACTGCACAGTATGCAACTGTATGGATGTCACATAGTTTTTTCCTACTGATTAGGCATTTGTGCTGCTACAAATACTACAAATAAAGCCACAATGAGAAATCTTTTGCATATTTTAGCCAGTGTTTCCTTGGGGTACGTTCTTAAAAGTACGATTGCTGAATCAGTTATTGCTGATTATTGCCAAATTTCTCTCTCTAGTTATATCATTTTGCATTACCCCCAGTGATACATCAGAGGGCTTGTTTTCTTCCACTTTGCCAGCAGCTTTGCCAAAGTCATCAAAGTTTTGTATTTTTGGCAACTTTCCTAATTGCAAAGTTATATATCAGTTTTCTTGGTTTGTTTTCTTGCTGAGGAACATTAGCCCTGAGTAACATCTATGCCAACTTCCTCCACTTTATAAGTGGATCGTGGTCACAGCATGGCTGATGAGTGGTACAGGTCTGCACCCAGGATCCGAAACAGTGAACCTGGGCCACTGAAGTGGAGCGTGCTGAACTTAAGCATTAAGCTGCAGGGCCAGCCCCTCAGAATATTTTTTAATTTGTGTTTCTCATACTATTTTAATCTGTATCTTCTGTATTTTCTGTTTTATGAAAAGTGTTGCCACTAAAGCAACTTTACAAGTTTTAGTCTTTAGCACTATATAGTGTTTTTCTTTTCCTCCTTTAATAATTTTCGGCCGGAATTCTGCAGTGTCTGTTATCAAGATTAACTTTGCTTTCTTTTTGTTTACAGTTACCAAAATATCCTTGCCATTTTGTTTTTAACCTTACTTAATAAGATGCATTTCCTGCTGTCCTAGTCCATTTGGGCTGCTAACAAAATACCACAGACTGGGTAGCTTACAAACAGCAAAAATTTATTGCTCATCATTCTGGAAGCTGGAAGTCCTAGAACAGGGCACTTGCATGGTTGGATCAGGGCCCTTTTCCGAGTGGCAGGCTTCTCCTTGTGTTTTCACATGGCGGAAGGAGCAAGGGATCTCTCTGGAGCCTCTTCCATAAAGCTCTAATTCCATTGATGAGGGTTCTGCTCTCATGACCAAGCACCTCCCAAAGGCCCCACATCATAATACCATCATTTTCAGAGGGTTAGGTTTTCAGCATATGAAGTCAGTACTTGCATATGTCTTAGAGCTGCATTATGAGTCTTAGAATGTCATAGAACTGTTATTCTTTCTATACGGACGTATAGGATATTTGGGTACTCTCTCACGACTTGGCACAAGGATGAATTTTTCTCAGATTCATTGGTTTTCTGAGATACATTCACTCAAATTTCCATATTTGTTGATCTTCTCTTTCTGGGGGTAAATAATTGTTGGGGATTTTTTGTTTCTTTCTTTCTATAGTAATTTATGTATATAATCCCTTGTCGATTTCAGATGTTCCCACACGAAAGCTGTTTCTCATGCACAGGACCTAATGCTTTTGATAATTTGACCCACTCATTCATATTTCTGAGAGATATTTTCTTTTTCTTCAGCTATTCTAGTTAGTTTACTTGATTTCCAGTATGTATGTTGGGGTCGAAATGCAAACTGAGAATATGAGCTTTCAGAAATAACATTATTGACATCTTATTTCTGATTTCAGTAGACCCGGTCTCTTGCAAAGAAGTATGAGCTCTTACTTAAGATCGGATAGTCACCTAAGCTGTCATTTTAAAACTGGTATTATTTTAATTTGGAGAAGAAATGCAAACTATTTTTCTACTAGAAAATCTTATTTGGTATTTTATAAAACTGGCTTGTCAATTTGTAAGTGGGCATCATGCCACCCGAACAGATGGGTTCCTGAAAGAGGGAGAAAAGCATCAAGTCTGACAGTTATGTGCTAGATGAATATCCAAGAATACGTAAGTCTAAGGATGGCAAGTTCTTAATGTTGAACTTAACAGACATTGGTTTTTTTGTCAACATTTGAACATTGAAAACTGCCACTTAATTATAACATACTTTAAATTTTACCTTCGAGAATCCATTGTCAGGACCTAAAACTCCCATAGAGGTTAGTGATTTCCACAGGGCTTATTAATGCACAATATTTCAAAATAATACTATCTGCAGGAAACCTCCAAATTTAATACATATATATTTACATAACTATATATGAGTATATATGTTTTCTCTGTATTTCAAAGGTACAATTAAGCTGCTAATATTTAGTAACATACTTGGTCATATTTTCATTTGCCATGCTGATCTGTGGTAAACATTTCTGAGTAAATACAATTTTATATTAGGTACCCCACATAAGTTCGTTTCGTATATTTTCTTATCTTAATTTGCTTTTGGGGCACATGAATGTCAGGTAAGCTAAACTGTATGAGAAAGTCAATAAAATCTGGAGAAATTGTTCCACAAAAACCAGCCACCCAACATTTATTAAATATTTTATTTATAGCCATCAATATCCCAGGTACTTTTCCGGGCACATGGGAAATATTCAAGAAAAATAAAAAAGTAAAACTCCTTGCCCTTTTGTTGTTTATTACTGTTTTGTTTCATTACGTCTGTAATTGAGGATTCCTCACTTGCAGATAATTGAAAAATTGATTTGAAGTGGAAACTGGAATAACATAAAATATTATTAATGCAGGAGAGGAGTCACTCACAATCTTTGTGGACAAGCGGAAGCTGAGCAAGCGATCTGAAGGAAGTGACTCCAGCACCAACAGCTCTTCGGTTACTCTGGAGACGCTCCATCAACTAGCCGCTTCCTATTTCATTGACAGGGACAGCACCCTTCGGAGACTCCACCACATTCAAATTGCATCCACCGCCATAAAGGTAGGAACAAGTTTACCCTAAAATTAGGTCATACCATTATGTTTTCTATCTCTAAGATCCATTTCTCTATATTTTCATGTCTCACTGATTTAAACAATTGTGTTCTAAAAAATATTTTAACATTTCCTTTTTCTTTGAGCTTTGTAGTATATTTAGCATGAAATTGTACGTATTTTGATGTAACTTTTTTAACTTGACAATCGGGTCAAGATTTTTCATGTCTGAATGCTAACTGAAATGCACTTGAATAGTGTAAGTTTATCCTGAGATACACAGACTCCTTCACAAAGTGTGCACTGATAAATCTTTATTTTAATAACATTGATTTTTTTGCTAAATCTTATGCAATTAAAAACATTATCCTGATTAAAGGCTTCTTTAGCTTCAAAGAAGTCAAGGACATAAAAATCATTAGGTCTTGGTTTAAGGAATATTTACCCCCAATATTTTTAAGATACAATTAACAAGTACAAATATTTGGTTATAAGTTACTAGAAGTAAAAATACACCATAACCCAGAATTCATGGATAAACTCTGTGTGTTCACTAAAATCCTTTGCCTCTGAATATGCTAAGAGAGAAAAAGAGAAAAACTGAGGGACTTTACGGAAACTGAGAGAAAGAGAAAGAGAGAAGGAAGGTATCTTTAATTTCAAAAGAAAGAAAGAGGACAGGAGAGAGAGAGACACAGAGAGAGAAGCTGTGGTTTCCAAAACAATAGATTTTTTGACATATTCCTCTGGCAGTTTAGGTCAACGCGCACTGTATTTGGCCAATGGCCATTGCAAAACTAATAGACCAAAGAGTTGGCACAGTGTGACAGTGTGATCCTGGACTAAGTTAACCAGAGCAAAATAAAATGTAAAGAACATTTCTCTGTGTTTCCACTGTAACATTTCATAGTTAATGTAAAATACGATCATTAAATATGTCATTTTATTGCTTTATAAGATTAAAATTAATGTATTTTTTTCACTTAATTGACAAATTAATATTTCACTATTTGGGGAATGCTAGGAAAAATTATCCCAATATATATCTTTTGTGCAAGGTGTACAAGAGAGAGAAAAAAAGTGATATAGAAATAGTTTTAACTTAGGGGTTACCCAAACAATACCAACCATCTTCAGTGTTGCTGGTAGATGAAACTGGGCAAAAAGACTTCTGTAAGTATAAACCACACAATTATCATGAGTCTACTTCTGACTGTAGGACTTGCATTATATTGAGTAACCAAGTATATAAATAGTATTTATGCTGTATAGATAAAAATGTAGCCAGCATGAGTGCAGATGTTTTAGTTAACTTAAAAATATTGTAAGGTAGGATATTGTTAGAGATAGTTAGCTTGAGATTGTTGAGGAGAAATAGACTTTTTCAGAAATCAATTTCAATGATATACACCGTAACTTGAAGTGTATTTTCTAATAGAAGACATCATTGCTGTAAGTGTGTTTATTACATGGCTATTGATTTTTTTCTCAGTACCAAGTAGAATTATACAATGGAGTTTTTTATACTCATGGTAAGAAATATTCATTCACAGTTCATGGGCAAACTTAATGGATATTTGAAGCTACTCTCTTCTCCCACAAGAGAAGTATGTATCACAAAACATCCACGTTTTAATGGTGCAGACTGTTGTACACAGGTATTGTTCTTAGATCCCTGTGGTACAACTGGGAACGGTAAGGCTTCATGAAGCTTATCCTCTAGCTGTGTGGTAGAAATGAGCTCCAAAGAAGTGACTTGAGTGAGTAGTCTAAGATCACCCCTGGGGAAGAGGAAAGAGCAATCTGGAATGTGGGAGCGTTGACAGCCTCATCTTGAAAGGCACCAGGAAATACTCATTATCTGTTAACCATGGAAAGGTGTTCCAGAGCACATGACGGGAATATTTTAAAGTGTAGAATGGTTGGAGATGGAAAGGAGAAGTGGGGCTTTCGATCAGGGAGAGGAAACAGAAAACGGTATGGGAATGATACAGCGATGGATTGTAAAGAGAAGTACACACATCTCATGCTGTAACTGAGGGAAAAAAAGGAAATGAGGTATGTGCCCTCCCCAACAATGTAGCTAAGAATATAGCCACAGAAGTACTTAGGGAGTACAAGAGTGAGGTAGCGGGGAATGGGGAAGATGGGAGGACTATCAGACCTTCAGGATTTCATTTAGGACTGAATGGAGTTCTCTTCTGGGGTAGTTGTAATGTTAAGTGGCTGGTGATTCTCTAGCCCAGGGTCAACTGCAGTCTGGATTATTGTGAAAGCTCCAGGGAAATGTTCTGTGCTGAAGCGTGTGGTGTCTACGCGCACTGGAGCCGGTCTACAGGCTCCTTGAATTACCTGCGCGCTTTTATGCGCCTGTGCATCTTCTGGGAAGCGTATCCTTTATTTTCGCTAGTTATCAGATGTGTCCCTCCACAGCGAAAAGGGGTCTCTCTTCAATTATAACATCATAATTGCTTAGATGTAAGTTAGGGTAAGAGGGACTGACGGGGTGGGTGTGGGAGTGTGTGTAGGCAGAATCAAGGGCATTCAACTACTGAAATCCTTTATACTTGAATAAATAATTCAGTGCAAAGTGCTTTTCTACAATATTTGAAATCAAGAGCTTAACTCTAGTAAATCCTTAGATGTTCAATACATTGCTTTTATATTTTAAAGATCCAAACTGAGAAGAGGACGATCCACAATGTCTTTGATTAGGTAATATACCTTGTGTTTTAAGTGCCGTGTAGTAGGCATTTAATTTCTTGAACAAATGTTTCATGAAGTTGTCCCTGGATTTACAGAATTTAGGAGATGTTCTTGATAAAAAACAAAGTCAAGTAAGATCGTTATCAGATAACGGCAAAAATATAATTAAATCTGTAAAATCAAGCCTGCTTTTTATCATGCTAATTCTTGCAAAAACACAAAAGAGTTGGACAAATAATGTTAATTATGAGCCAGTTTCTAGAAAATGGAAGAACAATTTGTTGTTTTTATCTCTTATAACTATGAATGTTAGTGTAGACTGCAGCTCATTAACACATCTGTAAATATAAAAAATGAACTGCTCACATGCCCATGGAGCTTAATTGACTGCTATGCTATTCCAATTAATGGCATTCATATCAAATATTATTTCTCAATATTATTTTTAGTGCAATAATATGCCAAGCATAATGTCTAGAATTGACCATTATTTTCAGAAAATTCAATTCAATTGACGCAAGTTATCTAAAAGATCAATCTAATACATTCTTTAGGTTTATTTTTAAATAGTCTAATAAACTTTAATATTATGTGATTGACAATGTTGTGAAAATCAAAATATATTACACATTTTAGGGAAAATTTAATCTATCACCAGATGTGAAATGTGAATGTTTGAAAATTTCCTTCATACTTTGTTTTAAAATCAGATTACATGTAGGGGCTGGCCCCGTGGCCGAGTGGTTAAGTTCGTGGGCTCCGCTGCAGGCGGCCCAGTGTTTCGTTGGTTCGAATCCTGGGCGTGGACATGGCACTGCTCATCAGACCACGCTGAGGCAGCGTCCCACATACCACAACTAGAAGAACCCACAACGAAGAATATACAACTATGTACCGGGGGGCTTTGGGGAAAAAAAGGAAATAATAAAATCTTTAAAAAAAAAAAATCAGATTACATGTAGTGAGTAAAATTAAATGTTTTTTATCAAACACTGTGAAAAAATTTAAAAGAGCTAAGTTATTATTGTTTTCCTAAAATAAATAGTGATATATTTACTGTATTTCTGGCATTTTTCTGATATATAAAAATACCAGATAGATTTTTAAAATTATAATGTTTAGAATTTTTTCCAACAAATTTAGGAAAAAGCAGAAAAAATACATTAAACTTAAAGGTCAATATTCCAGCTAAAAACGCCATCTTCAAATAATATTTCAGGGCTGCATTTAAAAGTGTTTCAGGTGATGTTAAAAAGATGCTGCACAACTTTAGATCAACATTTCTGAGATTATGTAAATACATTATATTAAAAATTTAAAAGCTATTTATAAAAATTAGACCTGATAAAAATTTTCCAAGAAACATTTTTACATGTAAATTATTCACTGTTTCAGAATAAAATCAGTAAAACCTCTCAATTATTTTTATTTTACTTCTATATGTTATTGAATAACTTACTTTAAGAAGAGCCAAGATAAGAAAATTGACATGTAAACCATTCATAATAATTAGAGGTTTGACTTCATATATTAGTTTCATTTTCAGGAAGGATTCTCTTTTAAACAGCAAACTCTCTTAGGGTTTTCAAAGAATATTTTTTTACTCACACACAAATTTAAATGTCTAATTACTTAGTACAAGTTGTACATTTAACTTAGTATGTTTAATAAGTTGGACAATTTTAATTGAACTGACCAAAAATTTACCTGAATTTTAACATGTAAACATATGTACCTGCCCCTAATTTTTTTAGCATAAAGAAATTACATATCAATCCAGAACAATTAGTACATGAAAATTTAGCATCATTATTAAATTCATAAAGCAAAAATTTCCAGAATAATTAAGAATCATATTATTTAATATTCTGAACTTTCATATTCTTGATAATAAGTTTTCAGTTTGTGTTATGGATATTTATTTCCTTGTGTTGTGCCTTCTCTTCCTTTGGTAAACGGTCCTAATTTGCTGGATGGCAAAAGCAAAATCCGTTTTTATTTTTGGTTTGTTTAGTCAAAATAGCTTATACATAGTGGCTAACAAATGGCAAATTAGTAAAATAAAGTTAACCTTTACTATATAGATTAAATCTTGACTATACAAATCAGGAGAAAATTAAAAACATCAATTTGTGATATTTTTCAGCATCTGTTTTATTCCACTCTTCTTTTCCTGATTTAAGGGGTTGTTTCCTGTAACAGAAGCTATATCCTTTGAGTACTTCATATTTTATTGTTTTCTGCTCCCTCAGATTTCAACTGTCATTCTGTCTTCAAAGAAAACGCATCTTGCATTTATCT